TTTCGGATTGTTCATACAAATATATATAAATAAATAAATAATCATTTGTTTTGAAATTCTCCGTTAGTGAAATGGTCAATTGGTAAAGAAAAATGCGTACAATTTTACAATTTCGTATAATATTTGTTTATAATTCTGTAACAAAGCTGACGAACTTTAGAAATTCTTTTTTTCTTTTTTTGCTCGTAGTGGAAGCACAGAGGTGGCAAACGGTGAGTCGATACTCTAGAAAATGACCATTGACCCGCGAAAAGAGCAACAAACTTTCATTTCTCGATTTTATTCCCCGTTGAGCGAAATGTTTCATCCGAGACACTTAAACCATAAATTTCGAATTCGAAACGCGATATGATCGAACACTCGAGGCAATTCATCTAAAATATTCTCGTTCGCGCAATACACAGCGAGCGTGAAGAACATAATCGTCCAATTATTTCTACGATTCCTAACCAAATGGCCTCGAAAATTTCTCGTAAAAGTCGAGGAGCGTGAAAAGTTAATTGAGGAGCAATGGAAATACTGGTTTACGAGATTTGCGAGCAACGAACCACTTCTCTCGAGACTAAAGTGACAATTCACCAAGATTGAAAAAAAAATTATACTTCCAACATTTTTCTGAAAAGTAACGAGCACTCGTACCTTTATATACCGTTTCGTATGATAACATACCAATACTTACACTTTGAAAGATTTTTCAGTACACGTAGTCGAAAAGAAAATTGGTGGGAAATGGATTGTATAATGAATTCGCTCACTAGTTTGAATATTAACACTAGGATTAGACGATCAAAGTATAAAATTTTCATCAGAGACGTTAATATAAATGAAACAGAAAATCTTTATGGTACACAACAGAATACACAAACTTTTATTTATGTATTTTATGAAGGATCATTCAAGTCTCCAAAAATATACATTATATATATATAACATATATATAATATATAATGTTTCGTATATATAATATATTATATATATATAATATATTTAATTTAATATATAATGTTTCATATATATAATATATTATATTTAATATATAATGTTTCGTATCTATAAAATATTTGACAAAAATATTCGAATGGTCCTTTTGACCATTTTGGTAGTTTTAGTGTTAAAGGTACGTATCATGGAAACTATAGCGGAGAATGTACATAATTTATGAGTAAAGCTAAACGAAGGAACAAATACTTACATACACTTGTATTACTTGACGACAGAAATAGAAATTTAAACGATACAAAATCGATATAATATGAAAAATATAAAATATGAAAAGAATTATTTTCTATTACTGGATTCACGATTGTTGAACGATTTCAGTTTACTGCGTCATCAACGATAGAGTACTAATCATTCCAAAACACGAAAAAAAGTGTTCTTTACATATATAATATGTGATATAATACTTAATATAATAATTATTTATATGTGAATATGTGATATTAATATATAATATAATAATTACTTATATATTTACTATATAATACATTGATGTATTTAACAATAATATATTTAATATTTAATATATAATTTAATAAATAATAAATATAATTTATATATTTAATATATAATAAGATAATTTATATTTAATTTAATATATAATGCATTAATATATTTAACAATAATATATTTAATATTTAATATATAATTTAATATATAATAAATATAATTTATATATTTAATATATATATATAATATAATAATTATTTATATATTTAATTATAACATTAGTGCAGATACACAAATTGTATAAAGGAAATCTTTAAAATTTTCATATAGAATAATCAATCAAATAATACACGTTAATATCATCATTATGCAAATTTTACACAATATAATAGATTCAGAAAGAGTTCAAACTGTCAACTTTGTACGTTGTTATATTTTTGTTTGTATTTTGTTTAACTGCGATCAACGAAAATTTATATACAATGAAATTCCCCTTGCAAAATGAAATCAATCACTTTGAGTATCGAATTTCGAACGTTTCCTCTAATTTTTTTATTTAAACAACAATCCACAATTGAAACGTCGAAACATTGAGACAGTCATCTCTCGGACATTTGCTAAAAGTTAACATGCGAATTAAATATTAATCCACGACATGGCGACTGAAAAAGTTCCAAGAGTTCTCTGAAAAAAACGCAAAAGCTACGAGTTAATTATTAATCCGCGAGATGAGAAAACTGAAAAAAAAGTTATTCTTCGGTGATTTTCTAGAAATTAACAGGCACAAAAGGTAGATATTAAATGTTAATCTAGACGAGACGACAATCCAGCAACATTGAAAAAATTATTCTTCGGACAAGCACAGAAGATATGAATTAAATATTAATCTACGCGATGACAGCAGCAGGCGAACAGGTGAAAAAAAATCATGTCCACGAAACGGAAAGGCTGTGGAACTTTTTAACAAGTTCTGCTTAAAACATGGAACGATAGAACTTTTTTTTTAAAAGAACGTTCTCACGTTATATAAGTTCCAACGAGAACAGATAGAGAAACGTTCTTTAGAAATGAAAGCTTCGGTTTGAATAGATCTTGTAAAAGTAAAAATTTCTTCTTCATTGCACCGAATGAAACGTTGAAATGTGTTCCAATCCAATTGCAACAAATTCTGAATGTTATTCAATGAACAATACCAAACAGTTATCAGTTGATGATCTAAATATGTTATTTGAAATATTCACGTGGATAGTTTTGCAGTTTAAAGTTTATTTGGATTTCTCTATGGGATGAACAGTTGGGAAGCTAAAAATGTTACTGAGCAATTCACAGAATAGTATAAATATTTACAGAACAGTATAAATATCTGCGTTGTCACATCATCATTTTGGCTAATTGAGCTGTTGTTACGTTTAATTCAAATTTTCAATAATACGATGTTATTAACTTGCATGTGATCATTGTAACTTCAACAATAATGATTAAAATGAAATTAAAATTATTTAAGCAATTGTTAAGAAGGAAAGTTGTCGTCTAATCTGTCATGCTAAACGATTCGATTGTTTTTACACATTTTCTAAACCAATTGACACATTTCTACAAGTGTCACGAATTTCATTTGTCGTAATAGTATAAAATTCCGTCATTTTATTATACAGGGCAATAAAATGTCTGAAATTTTTGGGAATATTCAGTTTGCAAAATATGTTAACATTGTAGCACTTGTTTACAATGACAAGTGATCTGTTTGAAAATAATTGAATTTTTTTAAAATCAAAAGATAATTTTTTCTATTTCTCAAAATTTCAAAGTTTATCTTTAGTATCATGATTTTTTTTTTTTTTTTTTTACCCAGAAAAATTTTCATCGATATATTTTTGTTCGTATTTTCTCAAGGGAAGAAGCAAAACATTCTTTACAATTAGTATAACAATTTTTCACAAGTATATTGACACCAAAGTCGTTAATACAACGAATTTTAGATTTTTATTCTTTCTTTTATTGCTTTCTGTCAAAATTAATATTGACTTTTGTTTAGACAGAAACACAATTATATAAATTTAGTTTAATTATTTGTACATTTTGATATATAAATTATTGACATGTTAAAGATTGTTTCAGTGTTACATAGATTGTTATATTCACAACATAAAGAAGAGGAGAAATTACTGCAGTTGAAGTAAAACTTGTTATATTGAAAATTAATAAACCTTTAGAATAAATTTTTTAATCGAAACGGAATGAAAAATTTTGCGAATTTTGCATTTGGTGAAACTAGAAAAAAAACATCAGTTTCTGTTCGTAAAAAAAGAATCATGTTACTAACAATAAGGGTAGCACTTTTCCCTACAAGAATTGCATAGAAACAGATAAAATAAATAATTTTAATTATTTATTTAAAAGTTTGAAGATTTTCTTTAGAAATAGAAGATAATTGTTTAATTCCCAAAATTTCAAAAACTTCCATCGATGCATAATGCAATGATTTAACGCAACAGTGTTTTATGTAAATGAAAAATATAAATATTATAAAATTGTGCTCAATTGTACCAACTAATTTTTGCGTAGATTATCATGTTCATAAATAAATTATTATATTTGCAATGTGAGAGAGAAAGAAAAAAATTAACTGCAATTAGAACAAAACTTTCCTTCGTTGAAAATTAATAAACCTCGAGATAGAAAATTTTTGAATTGAAATGCACTTTTTGCACTTGAAAGTAAAGAAACTGAAAAAAAAAAGCTAGAATAAAACTAGAATGATTTCAATTCATGTGTAACAATAGCGTTACATCATGGGATTTCAAATTTACTTTATATATTTATATTTTCTTTGTTATTTTATTATATATTTTATATTTATATATTTATATTTATATTTATATTTTTATATTTATTTTTATATTTATATTTTTATATTTATATTATTATATTTATATTTTCTTTGTTATTTTATTTTATTATTATATTCCATTTTTATTATTTTATTTTATTATTATGTTTCATTTTAATTATTTCATTACATTTTATTTTTTTTATTATTGATATTTATATTTATATTCTTTTCATTATTTATTTTTATTATTTTTATATTTATATTTATATTTTTATATTTTTTTTATATTTATATTTATATTTTTATATTTATATTATTATATTTATATTTATATTTATATTTTCTTTGTTATTTTATTTTATTATTATATTCCATTTTTATTATTTTATTTTATTATTATGTTTCATTTTAATTATTTCATTACATTTTATTTTTTTTATTATTGATATTTATATTTATATTTTTTTCATTATTTATTTTTATTATTTTTATATTTATATTTACATTATTATATTTATATTTTCTTTGTTATTTTATTTTATTATTTCATTACATTTCATCTTTTTCATTATTAATATTTATATTTATATCCTTTTCATTATTCTCCCTAAACAAAACGAAACGAAGCAACAACCGTTCATCCTTCCTGAAAAATTCCAAAATCAACGAAACGCACGAAACAACTAACTAACCTAACAAATAACAAATTGCTTTGCAGAGAGAGAAATCGCCAAGGCAGAAATCGCCACGGGGGCAAAGTTACGCGTGAGAGTGCCCTGAATCCCCGATCATGAACGAGCGAGCAACAACAACCGGTGGAACGCGCGACGAGCTGGAGAGGAAAAGAAGAAGAGGACAAGAAGCCGGTTGGAGGCCGAACGATCCGTGAAACTCGACTCGCACGGCTGCGAGAGAAAAAGAGACAAGGCAACTCGGATTCGTTTGTTTCCACGCGAGGAACAAATGTCGCCGACAGTTGCCTCGATCCTGACGCTGTCGCTTCTGCTGGCGCTGCCGTTTCCCGCGGCGGAAGCCGGCGAGATCACGGATCTCTTCGCGCTCGTGCGAAACACGCTCAAGTATTGGCGCAGAGTCTACCAGATGTACGAGGAGGAAGTGACTCTCGGTTATTGCTGGGCCGAGTATCTTCTTCGTCGCGAACACTACGCAAGAAACGCCAGCCAGTTCGTCGATCCGGCCAATCTCGAGTTCGACAGTTTCGAGAAGGAGCACGCGTGGATGTTCGCGGTGCAGGGCCACGGAGCACGCGCCAAACGATCGCAAACTTGCAAACTCGGAACGAGGTGCGACGTAGGAGAAAAATACGACAGGAAGTCTGTGAAAGAGCGGACTCGTCCACAGTTGAAACTAAACTCGCGAGCCAACGAAACGAGAACGATGTTAAAGGGACTTTCGACGAGTATGATCGATTCAAATCCGAACGAATGGAGGACCAACGAAGGCGGAACGAGGCGGGAATTAAACGGGCAAGTTGGCGAAAGATTTCTTCGGAATCTGGCGCGTCGCGGCGGACGTTCCAACGGAATACCGAGACCCACGGACATCCGGGAAATTTCGAAGATCGCCCCGGATGCCTTGGCAAGTTCGACCAGTGCCTCGGGATCTAATAAGACCAAGTTTAAATTGAACGAGTTACGCTCGAGGAGGGCAGACGCGTTTCCCAAAGACACGCGCCTCGCGAGCAAACGTCTCGTCGTTTCAACGCCGGGCCTCGTCTCGTCCGACGTGGCGAAACTTGAGAATAGTTGGCTGGGAACTCTTGGCGAGGTGAAAGTTTCATCGAGCGGGCAAAGAATCGGCGGATCGTCGCGATCGATGAGCTGTCGTCAGGCGATCGTCGCCGATGTCGAGAGGACGATTTCGTCGAGCGAACGATTTGTAAACACGCGTGGTAAACTTTTGTCACGCGTCGGACGAACGACGTCTCGAAATTCGAGGTCGATAAAGCACGAACCACCAGTCGTCGAGGGAGTCTCGAAATTTCGCGCGTCGTCGAATCACGTCGTGCTCCCGGAAAGTCTTCCGCTTTCAACCACGGTGAACAGAGGAAGGAACAGTAGCAAACAGTCGTCGATTTTCGTCGATGGTCAGCGATTCGTGGTGGATTATGGCAGTCGAACGACGACGATCGAGGCACGTGAACTGGCCACCGCTCACCTGATGCTTTTCCATTTTCAACGAGTGTTGGCCGGCTTTCTCGCGACCTTGGGGTTCTTTATGAACGTGGGCAGACAGCTGATGGACTACGTGGACTCGAACAGCGCGCTCGCTTGCACCAAGGACTACGTACTGGGCAAGGCTGTGCATTGGATAGATTCGTGAATCGAGAGGTTTTAGACGTTCGATTCTTAGGACTGAGCTGATCTTTCAGTTTTTCATAAGATCGCCTGGTGGATTATGTGTTAAACGAACTATTCGTCTCGTAATACATAATAGGGTGGCCACTGAATTACTGAAAAGTTCGAAAAAGTCACAACTTGTTCATTTTCTTTTTTATTATCTTTTTCCGTGGGTTGTACATCCTTTGGAGATTAAAAATACTAAAAAAAATCCATAAATAATAAAATAATAAAATAATAATCCAAAGTAATAAAATAATAAAATAATAAAATAATAATCCAAAGTAATAAAATAATAAAATAATAAAATAATAACCCGAAATAATAAAATAATAAAATAATAATCCAAAGTAATAAAATAATAATCCAAAATGATAAAATAATAAAATAATAATCCAAAATAATAAAATAATAAAATAATAATCCAAAATGATAAAATATTAAAATAATAATCCAAAATGATAAAATAATAAAATAATAATCCAAAATGATAAAATAATAAAATAATAATCCAAAGTAATAAAATAATAATCCAAAATGATAAAATAATAAAATAATAATCCAAAATGATAAAATAATAAAATAATAATCCAAAATGATAAAATAATAATCCAAAATAATAAAGTAATAATCCAAAATAATAAAGTAATAATCCAAAATGATAAAATAATAAAATAATAATCCAAAATTATAAAATAATAAAATAGTCCAAAGTAATAAAATAATAAAATAATAATCAAAAATAATAAAATAATAAAGTAATAATCCAAAATAATAAAAAATTAAAAAAACACGTGTTTGTAAAAGTTATTTTTGTTTTATATCATTCAGTCTTTCAGTGACCACCCTATACAATATCGAATCACTCTCCTCGTGGTTATGTGAATTATAGTTTGAAAAAAAGAATTATAGTTTGAATGGTGAATTATAGTTTGAAGAAGAAATAAATTGCAGTGCAATTTGGTAGGATTCTTCAATTTGAAAGAAAATAATTCGTAAAATCATATCACACATTAATGTAAGATTATATATAAGTTAACATAGTATAGTATATAGATCTAAAGGTGGCTAACTGGCGACTCTTGCCCCTACTTTCGCCAGCGCCATCCCCTCCACTGCATCGATCTCTCTATTGCATTGAGAGTGTCGCGACCACAATATTCGCGTTAATTATACATGTATACTTTACTGTAGCTACTAAAATTGAAGAAAGATAAGGTTAAATTAATGTCTACCTGCAAAGTCTGAAAAGAGAATCACAAGGTAAAGAGTTAATAATAATCTTTTGCATTTTTTCTTACAAAGGAATTTTTAGGCAATATTTGCGTAATTTCTTTTCCTCTTTCCTCTTAGAAAATTACTGGACTGAGACTGTCTTGTAAAGATCAACCACCACTTTGACTTTTTGAATGAATTTTGAAGAAACATCGAGTCTTGTGGAAATTGTACGCTTTTGAATAAAAAGTCAGTGGCAAAAAAAAGAAAAAAAAAAGTTCTAGTTACGTACAAACTAAAATTCATTTTTCTTTCCCAGCTGAAACATGAAGATAGTTTACAACAAAACAATCTTGGCCATTTTGTAACAAAAATGACGAGTATTTTTGTACACCCAAACGCCTTATTACAAATTTTATTAGTCTCGCGTTTTTGTATCCTTAATTTTCTTTCATTCTCTGTCATTTTTATTTTAAAAACAAGTGCGAAAGGACATTATCAATCCCCAATTGAGATTGGAAAACAAGCAAAGACGTGTAGAGAGAGACGAAGAAGAATTGATTATGGTTGGATTTTGAGAATTTTTCCTTTTTCAATGGACTATAGCAAACTAAGTAAGTGGGTACAAATGAGGTAAACGAGGGTTTAGGTGTTGGATATTGGGTCAGTAAATGGATTTACCGAGGTGAGTCACGAGTGTTTGTTCCATTTAACCTGCCCTGTTTTTTGTCCTACTTGGGCAATGTTTTTCGTACATGTGAAACTCGATCAAAGCATGAAAAACGCGTGTACTTTATGAATAAATCTCATGACGAACCCTAGTCACAGGTTTGAGGTTTTACTTATTAAACCACAGGTGCGTAAAAATATTACATTGTAGTAGTTATTATCATTGTACGATTAAATTACATTTTGTCTAATTGAACTTGGTACAGATTGTATTGCAATTTACTACTACAGTTGGTATTGACTTCATTATATTAAAGATAATTCGCAAAGATTTATTTCGAAACCGATTAAATTACTTTTGTATGTATTTATTATTAGGATTATTCGCTCAAGGTTTTCACTCTAGACGTGAAATGTTAATTAAAACAACGAAAATGTAAGTCAAACGTTAAACAGTTAAAATATAAATACGATAACAGAATACACAAGTGTTAAATAATTTTCACTTTTATCGTATGCGAATATTTTTTTTTTTAATATCAAACATATTATTTATCATGCGATGCTGAACGCATTTCTTTCAAACGAATGTAAAAGATGGTCGTTAAAACATAGTTATCTATAATGTATGCTAATTGTGCGTCAATTAAAAAAAATATATATATTTTTCTATTTTTGCATTCAATTAGAATTATCATTAAATTACCCTCTTCTTGCACGAGTCCAAACAATTATTCTCTTCTATTTCTTGCGATATCGTCACTGTACAGGGTGTCCATAAAGTCTCTGTACAATTTCAAAAATTTATTACAAAGGCAAATGAAAAGACAGGTAAGTGGAAATTATTACAAACTGAGACGAATATATTCAAGTTTCCTCTGCCTTATTTAATATACCTCTATACGAGCACTATTAGTTGCACGAAGCACATCAAGACGGTACTCGATTTCTTACACGATCGATAGTTTCCTCAGATGTTCTTGGTCGTCCATTCCTCCCTTTATCGAACACTGTCCCTGTCTCCATAAATTTCTCGTGCCATGCACAAATTGATGGACGTGACGATGGATCTCTTGCATACTTGGTTCTCAAGTTTCGCCGAGTCTGCAGACCCGATTTGGTTTCAATAAACCATGACACGCACTGTGCCTTCTCTCGAGGAATAGCCATTTTGCAAGGGGTTCGTTTAACAGTATCTTATTCATCAACAGGGTACCTGAAATGCAATGTGATAAAAACCTTGATGAACCACCGAGTACATGGAACAAATCTGACGGAGATGTCTCATCAATTGCCTGTGTAATAAATTTTTGAAATTGTAACATCCTGTATTATATTAATAATCACGTGACGTAAATAATACCGTTTAACAGGCTAACTTCTTCAAAAGACTTCATGATTACTATCGAAATAGAAGCATTATTGCACACATACCTAGAAATTAACTCTCCCTAGGGCAAAACTCCCTGAAAGGTGTCTTCATATTTCTCGTTAACCTTTGTGCCAATTTGACGTACTATTTTTTTTTTCTCATAAAATGTTATAAAAAAAAAAAAACGAAAGTTTCAGCATAAAAGTACGGTTACAACTGACGCGGCAGCATCATGTTTAATTTTCCTTTGTTTCGTTGAAAAAAATCTGAAGAAGAAATTCCGAGTCTCTAATTTGACATACGAATTGAAATTTTAACCGGTAAATTTTTATCTTAGCTTTTCTCAATTTTAGCTTGATTGATTCCTTATCTTAGTGATAAAATTGGGGAAAACAATTAAACTGTAAATTTACCTTTCAGCCAAACTTTTTGCTACAGAAGTAAAAATTTGACTGGAACTCGGAATTAAATATTCTATCCTTCAAATTCGTTATATTAATTAAAAAAATTCTATTGCGTGTTGTATAATTCATTTCATACAATTGTGTTATAATATAATTGAATTATGCATAAACTCTCTTATTCTATTATCTATTTATTATCTATTATAAATTTCATTATCTAGACCCATGTTCATCCTGGAGAATCGGAATTTTCCAGATGTGTAGTATTTTCACAAAACTACAGTAACTATAATAGTTTCTTAAATGTTCGATTATTAAATTATTAAATATCACACGAATTTTACAATACCGTTCTTGGAAATTTAACGAACGCTGTGTTTATGTACTAAACACCATGAACAGTGAGCTGTTGCTCACGTACAATGGCTGTAATGTGGTTTATGGCTTTTGGGCGATACGAGGAAAATATATGGATCCTGGCTGCTTATCTGGATGATATATTAGTGACACATAATAGCGATGACTCTGAATAACTATTTTGTTGTAAAATATCGTATTATTCCTCTCGTGTTCAATTAAGAATTATCTATTCTTATATTAAGAATTGTAGTTGTTATTTTTAAATAACATTTAAATATATAATAATAAATTATATTCTAAATTTTTAATTGTATTTATTACATCTATATCTTGAACAGAATAAATAGTAATAGATCTATTCTTATATTAACAATTGTTGTTTTAAAAATAGATAATAATAAATTATATTTTAAATTTTTAATTACATTTATTATATTTATATTTTATTGTTACGTTATAGAAACAATACTTCTAATGGTTTGCAGACAAGTGTTGATATTAATGTCGTATTGTTCAGTGACATTTTAGTATTTGTAAAAGTATACAAAAATGTAGATTAAGCACTAAAGGTTTTAGGATCTGTCAACACTTTTCTCATATTGTTATTGTGCAATTCATTACTCGAAACTGCATTACTTTTTTACGTAAGTAATAAACTAATGTTTAAATACATTTTTTTTAATAATATATACTACGATACACTAAATATATTACAATAAAGACACTGTAAAAAAAAAACTAGGTGTATCAATATTTTTTTACACTCTTAGAAATAGAAGAAAAATGAAAATAAGAAAATTACAAGTTTAAAGCTTTGTTCGTCAGTTATTGGGAATCGTTTGAGAATCAACTGAAATATCTCTGAGATTATGTGAACGAATATATTGTAGGTCAGCCTAAACGAGAGGGTAAACAATAATCCTCAAACCCAGTAACACATGTCGGAAAGCTTACCCCGTACAAGTTGTAGAGAAGAAGCTTATAATATTTGCTACCGTAAACGATTCTGCATACTGTCCTACAATTCCACAGGGAAAGTGACATTTTTATTAGTTTTCTAGAATTTCTAGAATTAACCACTTGCCCGCTGGCAACTGATTGCGGACCGTAACGAGTGACCAAACCATATATACAATAATTCGTCGCTTTCCTTTCGAACTCGTCGGTACGATATCACAGAAATGATTGACAAGTCATAAATTTATTATTCGTTTTGCCTGAAAGCTAGAGAGAAAATATTGTAATTTCGGGGCAAAAAAATTCTCGACGTGCGTGGCACGTCATTCCAGCGCAACAGGTTAAGCCTCGATGTTCTTTCAGAGATATTTTTGAACAAACAGGTTTAATCTTTGTCCGTTTCTAAATATTATGTTAATCTGACATAATTTGCTGAACAAAAAAAATTGTGCTGTGTTTTGCAAGCTGTATTTGAAACGACAGTGACATTTGTTTTTCTTCGTTTTACTAACAAAAGGATATAATAAATTTCGAATGTTGAAGTTAGACGACAAAATGTAATTAGAATTATAAAATGCTGATATCTCGATTATAGAATTTTCTGATATTCAATCACAAGTTTTAAAGGGTGATTGTAAAAGAGAGATGTTGAGAGGTCGCGAAACAAATTTTTTCAATGTTTCCACACAAGTTTGAACTTTTACAATTTTTCAGAAAAAAAAGTATCTTAATATGATTACGATTGCCGACAATTTTTCGTGGTTACTGATACAATTGTACTCTTCGTTACAACGAATTTGTATTTAATAACTTTGCAAATTTTGCAAATATACAGTCTCTTATAATTTTGTCCCGAATTTAAATCTTAAACATCTTTGGAAGCGGATAAAATGTCTTTCAGACGATGATATCATCATTATTTTACTTCACCTATTTTATCATCCGTTTAATAAAGATACCGTTCGAAAGATTGGCAATACAAACGTTACATCGAATGTTGGCCACTCTGGTTGTAACTAGACACTCTTCTGATGATGTGTTTGGGTAACCTCTTGCGCTAGTAACTGGTTTACGGACCATAACGAGTGACCATGCGACAATTGGTTTCTTTCTGAACTCGTCGATACATCACTGGATAGAACTATTACCAAGAAGTAATAAATTTATCATTTGTTTTGCCTGGGTTATATTTCAATATACTTAAAACTGAGAAAATATCGCAATTTTCAGCCAAATATTCTCGACGCGCGTGACACGTAAGAGGTTAAGTTCACTGCAGCTACGACTGAATTGATTTGATTGAACTAATAAATTTACTAAACGAATAAGGAAATAAAACTTCTTTTTTCCCCTTGTCGGCGATTTTCCTTGAAATGGAATAAAAACGAGGAAATCTCTAAATTTGTATTTGCACTTTGAACAAATTCCCTATACAGGGTGAGTCTCGTAAAGTGACGACAGTCAAATCAAAAAATGTTTCAGATAAACGTTGCATGGCTTTCAGAGGGACATATAGTACCGTAAGTTTTATGTTATTTTGCTTTTTTATCGAGATGTGAAGGTCACCGTCAATTTTTTAAATGGAATAGTTAATATCTCTTCAAATACATAGTTACTGAGATTAACGGTCTTTTCTAGTACAATGTAAGAAAATGTTTTTAATGTATGTATTTTTGGGGGGATGTTCGTCGCGGGTAGTGCAGGATAAATGATTTGGACAAATATCGTTTGTTAACACTTTTATTTGTAAAGTCACAATAGACGCGGAACTTTGTTCGCGGCGTATCGCAGAGTTTATACGCATTCAAAGACGGCCCCGAATTTCCGTCGTGTTCTTATCTTTGACTCGATGGCTGTTCGACTTGTTCTCTCGTCTTTGGAACTTTTTCGCTCCGAGGAAAACTCGGTCCCCGTCTCGGACATCCCTAATTGGCTAAACCGTTTTTGGGTTTTGACCAATTAGGTTGTCACGAAATTGCGTCGCCTAATCCTTGCGTTCGAGACGCATTTTCTCGAGAGTGGGGACCCATTTTCCCCGAATTGTGGCGGTGTAGCAGGGTTTCCTCTGGGCCTCACTTTCTCCAAGTGCTTTCCAGATGTTGATCTGCATGGCCCTTAGGAATCCAAGAGTTTACGACTATTCTAAACTTAATGCTATTATTTACAATTATTTACAAAAAGTTTAAGTCGTGTTCACCAGCGTAGCTGAAGGCGGTCTGGGAACCTAACTTTAACACGGCTCGCGCGTTATGCACGGTCGTCCATCTTGCACGTACGCGTCGTTATTGTTGTCGTCTATCGTATTACTATCTAATACGTAGACAGATTTGAGGCGCTCGATAGACACGTGCGTGTGTCTTTTCCCCTAATCCTGACTACACACGTTTTGTCTTTACGGGAAACAACAGGGAACGGGCCTTGGTACAGGTTTCGCAGCAAACACGTGAGACTCTGTGTCTGAGTCTTTAAACTGGAAGATTCTCCGCGTTCCGTGGCGTGACTTTGCTGAATGTTTGTCTCAGCTGCTTAACCATTTCGGCCGGTTCCGTGTTGTTTCTACCGTTCGGTTTGCTCTCCGCGAAGAAATCGGCCGGTAAACGTATCGTCTGACCGTAGACTAATTCCGCGGAGGATGCGTGTAAATCCCCTCGATACGCTGCTCGTATGCCAACGGAGGACCGTTGGGAGAACTTTTGTCCAACGATCGTTGGCGTGACACTTGATTTTACGGCTTTTAGCTGACGATGCGCCTACGACAGGTAGTTGCTCGCCGTTTATTCCGCGATTAAACAATTTCGGCACGCGGCGGAAGGACGATCGTTTGTCGTGTATACCGACCATAAACCGTTGGTATATGCATTTAGACAGAAACCAGAAAAAAGTACGCCACGTACAGTTCCGATATCTCGACTTCATTAGTCAATTCACGACCGATATCCGACACGTCAGAGGGAAAGGACAACGAGGTGGTGGCTGACGCACTTTCGCGAGTAGAAGCAGTGACCGCGGCACCAGACTACGAACGTCGAGCCCAGTCACAAAATTCCGACGAGGAATTGAAGCGATTCCTCACCGCGTCTGGCACTTTGTTGCAATTACGAAAGATCAAACCCTTTGGTTGCGATACCGCCGTGTACTGCGATATATCGACTGACGCATGCAGGCCGTTTGTCACACCTGCATATCGTAGACAGGCATTCGATTCTGTGCATGGTATTAGCGCACTCAGGTATTAAGACGACAGTCAGGCTGATGAAACAACGTTTCGTTTGGCCGTCGATCGACCGCGATTGTAGGAAATGGGCACGAAGCTGCGTACAGTGTCAACGCGCTAAAGTTAGCAGGCACGTGATTAGTCCCACAGCGAACGTTTTACCGCCGTCCACTAGGTTCGAGCATGTGCATATCGACCTAGTGGGCCCGCTACCGAGTTCAGAGGGGAAGAGATACTGCCTCACTTGTGTTGACAGGTACACAAGCGCTGGCCCAAAGTCTTGCCGATCGCGAGTATCGAAGCGGAAACAGTCGCGAGAGCTTTTATCGAAGGTTGGATATCCCGATTCGGCACTCCTGCCCGCGTCACCACCGATCAAGGCAGACAGTTCGAACCGAGGCTATTCAAGCAGCTCGGTGCAATGCTCGGGACGCAACATTTGCCGACGACAAGGCCTTCGTGAAGAAGGCTAGTGGTCGCCACGCACACCTTCCTCTCGTTGCTGAAGAGTTGCTCCTAGCGCGAAATCGGACGCATAATCCACCATAATCGCGAGATTCGCACGATTCGATGGATGTGCTAACAACGCGGCGTTCGATGGCGCATCTTTCAGCGCTTGAAATGCTGTCTCCGCCTCGGCGAACCATTGGATCGGAGAATTATCTCTTAATTTCCGATTCTTTAAAAACTGGCTCACCGGAGCTGGGTATGAATCTTCGGTAGAAGTTCAACCTACGAAATTGTTTCACGGTACCCGGTTTAGGAAAATCTAAAATCGCTTCTACTTTTTCGGCGAGCGGTTCCGTCTAACCGAGAAACTTTATCTTATTCGGCTTGCGCGAATACACACTTTGCTGGATTGACTACCACGCCGTACTCGTCTAACCTAAATGCGAACAGCTGTTCCAAGTGCTCGCCATGTTCCTTCTCGTCTCGGGAGGCGACTAAACTGTCGTCCAAGTACGCGTAACAGAAATCTAGCCCCCTCAAGACGGTATCGATGAACCGCTGAAAGGTTTGCGCGGCGTTGCTCAATCCAAATGTGCATTACTGTGTATTCGTACAAACCGAAGGGTGTCGTCGTTATCTCTGTTTTCGATATGTCCCCAGGATGGACCGGAATTTGATGGTAAGCGCGCACCAGGTCGATGGTCGAGAATAATTTCTTCCCGGAGAGCATTCGCGAAAAATCTTCGATATGCGGTATCGGATATCGATCGGGCACCGTTCGTGAATTTAACGCGCGATAATCGCCGCAGGGTCGCCATCCGCGATCCTTTTTTTGGGAACCATGTGTAGAGCGGAAGCCCACTGGCTCTTGGACGGGCGGATGTGTACCCTGGCTCATCAACTCGTTAAACTCTGTATACGCGATCTTGTACATATCCGATGCCAGTCTGCGCGGTCTGCAATGCACTGAAGGACCAGGCGTCGTATTGATATAATGGACGACATCGTGCTTTACCTTACGCGGGGTCGCTGTCGGTCTCGTGACGTCCGGGTACTTGGCGAGGAGCTGATGGTACGGCAAGTCGTCCACGATGGTCCTCACTGAAGCCGGTTCTCCGTTGGCGATCTTCCCCGTTGAGAAAAACGATGTCGTGGTGTCCAATAATCGTCGGCGTCGGAGGTCGACGAGCAGCCCGCAGTGGGTTAGGAGATCCTCTCCTATGATGGGTTTCGCCACGTCGGCGACGACCAATTTCCACTGGAACGCTCGTCGAAGTCCAAGGTCAAGCCGGAGGGATTCTTATACCATACTTATGGTAGTTCCGTTCGCCGCGTACATCGACTTCTCCGTTTGTCCTTTGATACACGTACGCGCTCGGACTAGGAACTCCATTTTTGTCGCAAGATCGGTGACAAAGAGACAGCTTGTCACTATTAGCCATGTTTAGTGTCGAAACTCCCCATTTCCCAAATTGAAATTGCACGGCGACCGACATTTTGTGGATCGGTCTCCAAAGGTTTTATGGTACCAGCAGTGGTCCTTTGCCGCTGGTGACTTCGATCTTCTCCGTCGGCTTTTTGATCTCGACCTCGATCTCGTTCTTGCCGTGGCCCGAGCGAAAGTCTTAACGAGCTCGGCCATCTGCTTTCGGAGGTCATCCAGCTTTCGGTTCAACTGGTCCATCTCTGGGTGCCTAGCGTTACTCGCGACAATCGTGGGTATCGTCTCCTGAATTCTGTCTGCCGCGACCGCCAGTTGGTCCAATGGGACGTACAGTGTGCTCACGATCGTCCGAACTGCCGGTGGCAATCTATTCAGCCACTTGGTTTTCAAAAATTCGTCCGTCGCCGCTTCGCCTGCCAACGTCCTCATGTGGCGGAGGAACTGCGACGGTGTTCGATCACCCATTTCCTCTTGTTCAAACAGTCCCTGCAATTGATTCCTACGAATCGCGTTGAGGCGGCGGACCATCTCCGTTCTCAGTGTTTCGTAACGATCATACTCGGGCGGACAGCTAATTATATCGGCGATCTCGCCCGCGTTTGAAGCGTCCATATGCGCGAGCGCGAAACTAAATTTTGCTTGGTCGGATCTCACGTCGTTCGCATCGAAATGTATATCTAATTGCTTAAACCACAAGTCCGGTTTCTCCGGCCAAAACAACGGCGCATAGAACTGTGTCGTACCCCTCGTTGCCATTTCGAGTCTTTTTGAATTCACTACACTAATCACCAATTTTTTTTGGGGATGTTCGTCGCGGCTAGTGCAGGACAAATGATTTGGACAAATATCGTTTGTTAACACTTTTACTTGTAAAGTCACAATAGACGCGGAACTTTGTTCGCGGCGTATCTCGATGGCTGTTCGACTTGTTCTCTCGTCTTTGGAACTTTTTCGCTCCGAGGAAAACTCGGTCCCCGTCGTCTCGGACATCCCTAATTGGCTAAACCGTTTTTGGGTTTCGACCAATTAGGTTGTCACGAAATTGCGCCGCCTACTCCTTGCGTTCGTGACGCATTTTCTCGAGAGTGGGGACCCATTTTCCCCGAATTGCGGCGGTGTAGCAGGGTTTCATCTGGGCCTCACTCACTTTCTCCAAGTGCTTTCCAGATGTTGATCTGGGTGGCCCTTAGGAATCCAAGTGTTTACGACGCTTCGCAGGAATGCTATTGAGGCTGTTTATTTCTAAAACTACAAGTGCGGACGTTCGGTCTAACGCACTACAAAACTGACTTGAGCCTTTTCAATTCAATAGCGGTCGTGAGTCGTAAATTTTTCTAACTTTTCTGTCTGAGAAAACGTCTTTTCTTCTGCTAGCCGCTACATATTTCAGACTCTGTTTGGTGTAATACTTTTTCATGTAGAATTCAACGCTTTATCCGAATTCGGGAAGAGATATCAACTATTCCATTTAAAAAATTGAAGGTGACTATTGATAAAAAAGCAAAATAACATAAAACTGATTGCCATACTATGTATCCCCCTGGAAGCCATGCAACTTTCATCTGAAACATTTTTTTCAGCAACAAATATTTTACGAGTTACTTGACTGTCGTCACGTTACGAGACTCACCCTGTATATTAAAATGCCAATTTCACAAAGCGATTACCAGATTAATCTAGATTTATTCGTTTTTTTTTTTTTGTTTTTCTTCGTAACTTGTAACTAGACTGCGAATGTTTGTACACGTGAAATATGCAAAAAGCGCGAAAAGCGTGCAAAACACAGAGCGTTTTCGATTTTTCCGGTCAAACGATGTAAGCCATTGCGCGTGAAATTTCCGAAAGATTGTTAGATGAAACGAGAGTTTAATATTGCTTTCAAAATACGTTGGCCACCCCGTGTTTGGCTGAGAAATATTGGAACGTTCTGTGTGCAATGTAGATTTACATTCAATTATATGCGACGCTAAATTTAGCAATACAAAGAGTGTTTTGCAACTTGTGGGGCTCACTTTGGAAGCTGATTGTACGCCTAAAAATAATAAAAAGAAGAAATCATATAAATATATGTCCGATCTGTCTTCGTTTATGAGATACAATGAATTTTCTGTTTTAATTACTTTTACAAAAGATGCTCGAAATGACCGCCTGCACGCGTCTTGTCATTCATCTGGTTACTCTCTCTATCATTCCTCGTGTTTCTCGAGTTTGTCTGAAGCCTTGCTCTATTTTATTTCCTACTATTTCACCATTTTCAATCGATGTTGCGTATACAATAGATTTTAAATGTCCCCACAAATGAAAATCTAATGGACTCAAATCCGGAGAACGAGCAGGCCATGCAATAAGACCTCCACGACCGATCCATTTGTTTGCAAAGTGTCGATTTAAAAATTGGCTAGCCACTCGGCTAAAATGCGGCGGAGCTCCATCATGCATAAACCGCGTACGAATAATCTAATATCGACTGCAACTTCCTCTAATATTTCGTGTAATAAACGCGTGCTGAAAAAATCAACGTACTTTGTGCCTGTTAGTTTCCCATCAAGAAAAAAAGGTCCAATTAAAAATTTATCAATTATTCCTGCCCATGCTAAATTTAAACTAAACTGATGTTGATGTCTTGAATGCACAATAACAAGTGGGTTTTCTTCATCACAATTATGATTATTATGAAGATTGAATATATCATCCCTGGTAAAATAAGGCTTACTAGAGTTTGCTCTGTTTATAAAATTCATTACATCTCATAAACGAAGACAGATGGGACATGTATTTATATAACTTTTTTTTTTCATTATTTTTAGGCGTGAGGTGAGTCGCACAAATTACAAAACACCCTGAATATTATATTTGACGTACGCGTTAACTGAACTACTGGAATATAAAATACAATTGTTAGCCAAACTATCGACGATTTGCTGTGATACTCTGCACAGCTACACGTAAATCATGACAACTGTGCCTTTGAGTATGCAGCATTTTTGAGGATCCATTACTTTGTAACCATTTCTGTAATCAATTACTAAATAATGATTATAGTAATAATTGATTAGTCGGCGTGTAAAATAAATCAGTAGCCTTGATTAATTTTTTCGCAAATCGTTGATCTGTAATTTTTAAATCATTACGTGATTGATTTATATTTTATTCACATTGCTGGAACATGTTCAAAAAAAGTGTTAATCACTATGGAGCTATGCTGTTGGATATAATTAAATGTTATTATTGGAAATAACTATTATTGCAGTTTGAGTAGATCAAAATTAGAGAAAAATATCTACTTTTTTTTTTTTTTTTCTGCTGCGTATATACGTGTCTGTATTATTGAATTTAAAATAATTTTTTAAAGTTTACAATTCTCATTAGATATTTTTAGTGTAATAACGAGCGTCCATCACGATGAATCTTAAAATTTTGTACATTCGATAAGTCTATCGTTAAAATCCATCTTCATCGAGTCGTATTGGAAAAATTTGTTAAATAACGAGCCAAGAACTAGATGAGACTTTCAATTGACAACACGTCCTGATAAAATTTGCAAAACAAATAATAAATACCTACTTTTTATACACAAAATGTACAAAAAATCACAATTCAAAGTGCAATCATTTTACGATTGATGATTTTCATTGCTACTCTTGTTTATTAATCAGCGATTATTAATTATTTTATGATCAATAATCTTTAACTACAGTCATTAATTACGTTTGATCCTCTGGAGTGACATTTCCATTTTTCAATAATCTTTTAATTGTATCATTGTAAATGGACAGAAACATAACGAACATAAAAATTCGCGTGTAAACGAGCTACGCAGAACGAAAGCACATATTCGTAGCGTTTTATTCGCCAGTACGTGAATATCGATCGTTACAACGAAAAGAATCAAACCTTCAACGTGTATAAATATTTTTCATTTCCAGTCCGAGGATTTTAACTGCGATAGCAATTGCATTAGAGGGAGAGGATTGTGCAAAAAGGACGAGAAAGAAGATGAAGCATCCATTCAATTTCCTTTCTTTCCTTTTGTACAACCAATTACTCGTGGTACAAAATTGTTTGTTCAACTTTTACTTTCCAGTAGCGTGAACGTCACGAGTTAATTATTTCAAACGATAGTGTAGTCGAGCAGAGTGCGTTCACTCGTTAAACTTTGCATATATGTATTAATGAACAATTAAAAAAACGATGATAAAACACTATCAGGACTTTGAGGATACACTCTTGTCGATAGTACAAATGGATAATTTTGTAAATTAAGATTCTGAGAATTTTAACCGATAATCTGAATCAAATTGATTGAACAAACGGATGAAATTAAAAGAACGTGTGTATATATGATATACGCTTTTGGACATTAGTATGTGTTCATTGTTCAAAATGCATGAAATGAAATATGGATCTTTGGAATTTAAACGACGTAATAGATTTCTACCCGACTCTGCCATTTTTATCCTTTTCCCAGGAAAACATGAATTTACATAAACATCAGCACAATTATATCTCATGTCTAGACTGCGGATTTTTATGCAAATACTTGCTTTACATATATTTCGCATATTTCACAAATATGAAAGATAAATGAATACGTTACATACTTTTTGCACATTTTATACATTCTCCTTTGCAACAATTTATGAATCATGAATTATAATTCATGATACTTTTACATGTACAACGATGAGTTTATAATAAGCGAGTATAATTTGAATTCAACGCGACTCCAAAGAAATGGCAACGTTGATTTCATATACAAGTGCAAAGTGACAGAAACGTAACAGACACGTTAATTCGATTTAATCGTTTTCGTGCAGTGCTTAAAACGAAAAATACCAAGCAATTTATGTTTGTCAAATGGATAAGTGAAGTAGGTGATGCAAGATTTATTCTTGAAGGAGATGTTGTTCATTGGCAGGCGTGCAGTAAACGGATTAATAGAAAATCACAACGATCGCAACATGCGAGTATCGCAGAAGAAATATGCAATGATTCAACAGCGCATACGAGCGATCAAGTGTCAAACGCGAATCAATTTTATGGCGACTCGTGTCAAGCGATGGTAAGTCGTAAAAATACCTTGGCGATGTTTAAACGATACAACGTGGAATAACTTTTTGAAGAAATATACTGGTCAAACTATTCCTAATAAATGCACTCTCAGACAAAAATTATCTGCAAAATCTTTATGAATCGTGTGTTCGGAACGTTCGAAGGGACGTTGTAACATTCGAATCTTTATAAACGAGCAGACAGTAACTGGTCGTTGTGTCGCTAATTTAGCTATCGGAAGTGTCAACGCTTCGTTTGCTCGCCCGTACGCAATTAGAGAAAATAAATCACGCAGTCACCGCTCGATTCGTTGATTCGGCACTTTGAATGTTACGATTATCAAACGCAGGAGATGAGAAGGTTTTGCTCCTAGTGACAGATACAGCTCGGTGTATGCCAAAGGCTGGCAAACTATTTCAAAATAGATTATTGGAGAAAATACGACGCGACACTGGCCTAAAGTAAATACACTCAGTAACCAGCGGTAAAACGAGTGTTTTTTTTTTTCTTTTTAAAAGCTTCCCATCGCACAGCAATTTACAAAAATTTCATACGCTTCACACGTCCATCACAGTTGGTCATTAAAAGAGCGAACACAGTTGGAGGCTGCACTATTCTGAGCAAAATATTTAGAGAGGCAATCTTAATTTGCAATTCTTAGTCAAATTTTGATATTAACGACAATTTTATTATCAATATTTCTGAATGATACTATTTCTAATATAGGTAATAAAATTGTTTGATGAAGGGGAAAAGCTGAAACTTGATTTGGCNTTTGGCACTTTCTCTTATAGAATATAAAAATTTTGCTGCATCAATGCAAATAACTAACGATATTGTAAAATGTATGGAAAGCATACATAGCATGTATGCACATTTGGAGAAAATATTAAAGCTTAGAAAGAATCCTGGCTATGACTCATTATGTAAACTTGAAAACATTTTAAGTGGTACGAGAGCACCAGTGAATATTTAAATGCAAATTTACATATACAAATAAAAATTGAAATATATATCAATCACACGTGCTTATAAATTAAGTTTTTCAACAAGCGATACAATTTCAGTATAGAAGATCATTATTATTATTATTATTATTATTATTATTATTATTATTATTATTATATATTGCAACGCAAATTATGAAAAATAATGTAATTATTATTATTATATATTGCAACGCAAATTATGAAAAATAATGTAAAACGACTAACATATACAATATTCTGCATAGTATATTAGTATAGTGGTTTGCATATTTCTTGCATGGAAATCCGTGCACAGTCTACTTGTTTCTAATTTATATTCGAGTTATATACAATCCAAATTTTTAAACAATTTTAAACTACCGTTGACGATAAAAATTCCATTCTCAGAAGAATCACAAGTCTCTACATGCATTTATTCGACCGTGTGAATATGGTTAGATGAATTTGTAATCCTGCTTAACAATCTTACCGAAATTTGTTAACTTCAACCACTAACTGTAACCTCACTCTATCAGTTTTATCTATTATACAGACTGCGGTCGAGCATTACATATATACAGAATATTGGCCAATTCAAACTAAGCGGGAATACATCATCGATAGTAGATTATTCTATATGTACAAATAAATCGAAAATATGAAGTAAAATTTGTTCGTGCAACGCTTCATTTCCGTGAAAATGAAATTTGAATATTTATTGACCCGGCTACATTCGTCAAATTGATTGTCTACGTATAAAAATTTGATTTCTTTATTGCAAAAAAATGTGACCAAAGAAATATAAAAACTTGTGAAGAAGTATACTTTAATGCATGTATTATGCATATTGTTTATTTGTAACAAGTATCACACATTGTATAATAATGATGCTTGCAAAGTATATATGTGACGTATAAATGTAAAATTTTTTTACTTTCAAAGTGAAATGAATATTATGAATATATTTTTCTTCTTTTTTCTTTTGTGTTTGATATAGTTCTCTTCGTATTTTCTTGTATATATTGTTTAAGACAAATGCTTTCATCAGTACATTTATTGAATAAAAATTTTGTTAAATACCAATATATTTTTAATAATAAAAGTTTATTTGTTGACACTAATAAACATGTAATGTAAAAAAAATTTAATAACAAAACAAAATCTTCAATAAAATTTATTAACAAAAGAAACAAAGAAAAAGTAGCTGAAGTTAAAAATCCACGTGTGAGTCTGAGACAACTCGAGAATTCTAAAACTAGCATAATACGAATATTAAATGGAGAAAAATTTCATCCGTATTACTTCTACGTATATTATCTCTATGTACAAGTTCCAAACATATACCTTCACAAGCCGTAAGTGGAAGCAGGTAATCAATCGATCGACAGCGATCACCAGATTAAGCAAACACGTGCAAACCGGCCCTAAGATACCCTAAGATAAAAGTTTCCACGCAAGCATTTAGGGCACGAGTCGCCGCCATCAGCCCCCTGCCTGCCCCTCTGGATGAGTCTTGAGCTGGCGACTCTGAGAGAAAAACGCTTCCCTTCACCATCATTACCCATCCTTCACCGACACGATCCTGTGCTGTCACATTCCCATGGCCCCCGGAAGTTCTGGCCTATTTACAAAGAACAGCAGAGGCCCAAACCTGGGACGTGACACGGGAAACGTTGAACAATAACCGGTTGATCGATCCAAAATGTGCGACTCTTTTCCAAGCGAACTGATAGACTCACCCTTGTAACTTAAAGTGAAATCTACTTACAGGCTGTTTTTTTTTTCTTTTTTGCCGAAATCTATAAATGTTTACAAACCTAACCAAGAAATTAGCTTTAAATGAGGGTACAACACTTTGCAAGATTGTTTTTTAGAGTCTACAATGAATCGCAAATTATAAAATTCGCCAAGCGAAGGTATCACGGGCAACATATGTAATTTCGAGATTTATCGTGCCCAGGAATTAAAATTAATTGAAACAATACAAACTACCGTGTCTACATACTTGTGACGTCGTCTTTATACATATGGTCAACTATTATAACAGAGTTGGAAATTTTATTACAAAATGAAATAAAAGTATATGGTAGAAAAATTAAAAAATAGCAGTCTATCTAAATCTTTACAAAACTGTGAATATATTATTTTGTTGTGCACATATCCGTATGTACTCCACACATGTTTGTGCACAATACGTAATGGTGTGTACCTAATAATGCAATATCCTAGTGTCGCAAATACATGTACACATATTTTCCGTACGATCGTACGAAATGTTCGCGGATATTGAATATTCATGCGTAATTACGTTCGTCTATGTTTAACTGCAATCGAAATATTTTAATAATACGACGCAATACGTTGCAGTGAATAAAGTGAAATTACATCGTACTCGATAAAACATTTCGATGTTCTAATTTTTTCCTAACGATAGCAATTGGATAATTAAATTTTTAATTTTACTTAATCATTTTTGAACGGGAACAGCTACAACATAATGTTTCTTGCGTGAAGGTAACGTTTATTTTATTTGAGATATTATCTTGTAGCATTTCCTCAAAACAGAACACGAGCTTGTATCCTTTTGTTTTAACAACAATTGTTCAAAAAATTTTTATAAAAAGAGCAACGGAAACCTAAGTTGAAGAATAAATGTGAGCAAAATTTTTTAACATACCACGTGACTGAAAAAAATTAAATATTTTGATTACAGATAATAATTATAAATGACTCGGTATTTTTTTTTCACTGCCGATAACTATTACCGATGAATTTTATTGTATCTCAGTCGCGTGTAATAGTTTTTCGATGAGAGAAATTTATTTCGGTTGCTCGTAACGACAGTTATAAATGAGAAAAGATCTATTTCTCTATTTCGGTCGCTCGTAGTTCGACCAAAAAAATTCCTCCGCTATCGCGTAAAAACATTTTCAAAATTACTTGCTGATGTAAATCTCGCAGAAATTAACGAAGAAGACGAGAATCGAAATAAATTTCTCTCACTGGCAACTGTTATATGAGCAATCAAAATAAATTTCCTCCCTAGCGTCATAAACAATCGAAAGATAATTTCACTGATAACTGTTGTGAATGAGACTGCGGAAATTTATGCAAATGCATATTTTTATAAAATAGTTAGACAATGGGACCTGGATGAATATTTACGTTACGATTAAACGATTCTGAAAACATATTTTTCATTTTGCATAATGCATATTTCATATACGTTAGTGATCAGAGCGTATAATATTTCATACGTTAATAATCGTCAGCATTCGTATACGTTGGTAAAATAATTTTTCGTACAATATTTATCTCACTAGAGAATGATTAATTATAATTGCGTGATAATAATATCGTGAATCATAACAAGTGTTGGGTAAACGTTTTGATGTATTACGTAACACTGTTACATGTATACTAAATAGTATTAACCAGGTACAGTTGTCATCAGCCAATGTTAATGTTGTTTCATAGTGCCGTATAAGATTTTAGTGAATTATGTAAACTTAATACTTAATAATAATCTAATATATTATATATATATGTATATATACAATCTAATAACAATATTCAAAAAGTGCAATTAATGATGAACCGAACGGAATTAACTTTTCAGGCAAAAGACACCAATTTATTGCCATCTTTTAAAGTATGGAAAAAGTTATAATTAATAAGTATATTAAATATAGTAACGCAAATTTCAACAAATAGTAAATAACAATAATAAGTTGTTATGTTATTATGTAACTTATGTAATTAAGTTATTTATTATGTTATTATGTCATTATGTCATTTATTATGTTATTATGTTATTTATTAAGTTATAATGTCATTTATTATGTTATTATGTTATTTATTATGCTATTACGTAATTTATTATGTTATGATGTCATTTATTATGTTATAATGTTATTTATCATGTTTTAATGTTATTTATCATGTTTTAATGTCATTTACTATGTTACTATCTTATTTATTATATTATTATGATATTTACTATGTTATTATGTCATTTATTATGTTATAATGTTATTTATCA